CTTCTGACTGTCTAATTCTATTAGGCTCTGGTTCTGTGAAAGACATAAATGAGAAAAATTCATTTTCTCAGAGTTAGTACTGTAATGAACTTCATTCCATAAAGCATAAGATGTCAGTGATTATAGAAAATATAAGCCTTGTTGTTCAAGAGAGAAAATGAGAGCAGGAACCTCCTTCCAAATAAGGAGCTGCTATGCCACACAAGCCCACTAGAGGAGGTCTTATCTGGCAGTGGAGAGGAGGAGGGTGAAATCAACCTCTATTTACTGAACTCTTACCCAGCACAGGCTTTCCGTGTCATCCGAATATTCAGTGATGATGAGATGGTCCTGATTACACCTGCTTATTACAGAGTAAGAAGAAACCAAAACACAGAGTAACTTGCTCAAGGTCAAAGTGGCACAGATGGGATTCCCTTTGGAATCCAAGACTGTTCTACCTGACAAAGCACTGTCTATCTACCTAGGCAACTGGCTGAGTAGAGACAAGAAATACCTCCAGAAGGCAGAGCAGGGGGAACAGGTGTGTTAACGCTGGGCTGATGAACCACAAGGTGACCCTTTTTCTGATTACTATTTCCATTAACTTCTCCAGGAATCCCACTGTAAGCCGTCTCTTGCCCACCAGCTTTCCCAGCCCACCCTTGGAGTCTTCTTGTAGGAAGGCCATTCACTCAGCTGGCAGGAACACGCTTGTCCTTTAGCACTTGTGTGATGGCTGGCTGCTACATCTTTCGCATGTGAGCTCAAAAGGGTGAAGCGCTTCTCATCTTCCAGCATACTTCTTAGGGTGGGAACATACTCTCTCCAAATTTCAAGGGCCATTTTTAATTACCTTTCCATTTTTAAATAAATAGCCTCACCTTCTTAAAAAATTATTTTTCTGGTATTGAGGCATAGAATTTATTTATTTTCTTCTCATCACCCTCTGGCTTTCTGAATTCCTTATTGAGTCTCAATTTTCCCAGCAGTGGATTTCAATTTTCTATTACCTTTTATAATTTTTAAAAATATATAAGGAATATATACTCAAGAAGAGGATTAAAAAAGATCTGTCAACTGTAAAGGGATTGCCAGTAAGGATGGCAGACTCCTTTATTTGGAATGAATGAGATCTTGATTTATGATTAGCAGATGGCCCCCCCTCTTAAGGACAGGAAGGACACAGTTTCTAATAGGAGTAACATGTCCTTATGGGGGGAAATGGATTGCAGTGTGTAGCCTGCCCCCAGCTGGTGAGGGCAGCTCTTCATTTCTCCATGCCTCAGTCAGTGTGCCAGCTGAGTGTTTTAATAAGGCAAGTGTGCCTCAGTCCCTCTCCCCCACCCAGAACACTGAGGTCTACTCACACTCCTCCCAATAATCCCACTGCTAAAAACAGCTGAAGCCCAGAGGGCCTGCGGCTCCTTGTTAGAACTGAGCAGCGATCTGGTTACCCTCAGCTATGCAAAGACGTTCCGGAGGTTCTCATGTCCCCAGCTGTGGGCCATCAGGAGCCAGAAACCTAGGGTGGCACCAGTTATTTTTATCTAAGATGCTGCAGGCTTTCCATGACGGTGAGGAGCAAGACGCTCCCACTCCTGAGCACTTATTCATCTACTCCGTTTTATAGCAAATGAGGCATGGCTCTCTTTCAGCAGCAATGGGAAGCATTAGGAGGGCAGATGGTAGACCCCTTAGGATGCCTTCAGCAGAGGACCCTGACACCAGCTTGCTGAGAGAAGGGGCATCTCAGATAAAGAAAATATAGCACTTTCATCACATGGGGTTCCCCAGTTAGACCTTCTAACCTCAAGGAGAGTAAAGGGACTAGAAGTACCCGGGTAATAATAATAAAGCCAAAACAATAGAGGTAGCAGGTATTAGAGGAGGGTAACAGGTGATGTGGTTTCATAGTCAAAGACCAAAAGAAAGTCGATGGCTTTAGAATGCTTTGTGCACAAACGGTGCTCGTTGTTCACGCTGAATTCCAAGTAGGAAAAGTAAAGCAGTGGGGAATCTGTTGTGCCTTTGGGGAAAGTAAGCTCTCTCCATGCCAAATGCTTGCCTCTACATGCCATTAACAAAATGGGAATCATAACAGAATAATACCTTGGAAGTTATTCTTTACAAATTTGAGAACGATTCTAGCCCTGAATTTGATTTTCTTGGCTTTCTGAAACAACAGCAAAGGCACTGCTGTTTAATATTCACACAAGCTTTTAAGCCCAAGTGATGATCAAACATCTGAAAGGAGGCCCAGGGGTGAGGTGCTGCCCTGGTGAGAATGGAGACCGCCAGTGCCTGAGACCAGGGTCAGTGCCTCCTCACCCCTGCACCCCAAGATTTGCAGCTGGAAGTTTCCGATTTGTGTTTCCTAACACCTGTGTTCACTCATCTGCCATTTACCAGCTGACTAGGCTGTGCCCAAGATCGGGGAATGGAAGAAGCAAAAGTCCCCAGGAAAGCCAGATCAGGAACAGGGGGACAGGAGCGCCTGCACACATTAAGGCCCCAAGGCTCCGAGTGGGGAAGACAGGAAATGGGCAGAGGGACATACATTTCCAAACATGGCCCTGCTTCGGGCCTGGGTAAGATGGAACATCCGGCAGCAGCTGTGCCTATTTTGGGCCTGGGGGTCTCTGTCCCAAGGGCAACAGGTGTTGAGACCCAAGGAACAGGCCATGAATAAATACATGGATAATTCAAGGGCACCTTGGCATCATCCCCAGGGGCAAAAGATCAATTAACTGTCTTCCGCCGGAAACATAAGATACCCCCCTTTCTTGTTTATTCCATCCCCCTTCAAGACATAGGACCTTGAAACCAGAGACAGGGACATTCAGTGACCAATGGCACCTGGAAGTCTCCAGACATTGCCCTAAGCCTGGAGTCACCTCGGGTCCCAGCAGAGCCTTCATACCACCGAGACTGTCCCAAGCAGAAGCAATCATCTCATGGAGCCGGGATTGCCCCAGTAAGAACTTTGCTGGATCCACCCGGCCAAAAACAAAAGTGAGGTGATGATTAACCTGCCCTTAGCCCAACCCAGCCGCTCCATAAAAGCTGGTCCTTTCCCTCTGCTGACAGCCCAGTCTGATCGTCAGCAGAGCAGTGTCCCTTTCAGCTTGAGCTTTCTAACTGCCCCATAAATCAGCCTATGCCTCTCAGCGACATGTCTTGAAATCAAGAGCCTGCTGGGGCCGAGTTGAGGTCCCCATCTCTTCTTCAGAGGGGCCTCCTTGAACCCACTCAGTGACACAGACACTACCTAGGATGATAACCACTGATATTCCCCAAGGCGGGGAGAAGCCACAGCCCTCACACCTGACATGCATTGTTAAAAACTGTATGAAGTTTTGCCTTTTGAAGTGATTGCTTGCAGCCCCACAGTAAATCCAACCATAACAGGGTCTTAAATACTTAGATTTGATGTGGCCTCCCATGGACAAGCTCACAGCTCTGCAGGCTTCATTCTCATGTTTGAGAGATTCCATGGGCTATGGCAGAGAGAGGGCCACCCCCGTGGGATGATCTGTGCTTCGGCTGCACCCTCAGGGGTCCTGTTGCAAGCAGAGGGAGCCCCCAGCAGGTGTCTCCTGCCCACCCTTTTCTTCCTCCCACTTCCACTGTGGCCTCCTCAGAAGGGGTCAGAGGGGCGGCAGCAGCTGAGCAGCCCCCAAACCTGGAACGTGTGCTTTCAGCAATGAGGGGCCCCAAGGTCTATAGGTCTCTTCTACTGCATTCCCAGAAGAGCTCCACAAGTTAGGACTCAAATTCCTGACTCAGAGCCCAGGGACATTTCACTGTCTGACCAGCTTGGTGCCAGCCAGAGACAAGGCTCATTCAAACTTGGCTCCCTCCTGGCTTCCTTCCAATTCCACCACCTCTTATAAGCCCACACAATCTGTTGCTTTTGTTCATTGTCTGAGATATGGGATAAGAGATGACCACAGGCTTGTTTCTTTTTTTGTGACTCCTGACGTCTTTGTAAGAAAATAGTAATAGTAGTTCTGTGCTTTAAACCACCCTGAGTTCCTGAGATAAAAAGACAGTTCAGATATTAATCATTACTCTACAGAAAAAGGAAGAAGCAGTTTTGACAGGTCTCTTCTGCATTTGTATGGCTTCACTGATACTCTTTTGTGGACTTTAAATGCTGACATACGAAGATCCAATGACCTACGGTGTACATGAGTTACAAACCATCTGGCCCAAAGACCATATAAATGTTTCTTAGCTTACGATGGTTCTGCTGGATAAACCTATTGTAAGTTGAAAATGCATTTAATGCATCTAGCCTAATGAACATGGTAGCTTAGCAATGCAGTGCACTGGAAAGGGTCAGTGGCTTGCCCTTGTGGTCATTGCACTGCCTGGGAGCTGCCGTTCAGGCTCCCTGTAGCTGCCCAGCATCATGAGACAGTGTCTTATAGCATGTGGCTGACCTAGGAAACTCAAAATTCAAAGTATGGCTTCTGTTGAATGCATATTGCCTCTATATAGCTGTAAGTGAAACCACTGTAAATCAAAGACCATGTGTCTAGTGTTCAAGGTGAGTGATGTCAGTTTAAGTGACATACCTGAGTCCTCCTTAGGCCTGTGTGAAACATGACTCTGTCACTGCTCTGCCCACACACCTTGAGTGGCTCCTCTACCTGTCAGCAGAGGACACCTGCCTCAGATTGACATAAGGTAGCAAACTTGGTCCCCCTTTGTTGTCCTGCCTGGCTACATCCACTCTCTGAAGTCCTGACACCCCTGAGGGTCCCTATGTCCTTCCCATCCACCAGCAGCCAATGCCCCATCCTTTGTATGCCTTTCTAGGGAGCACTTTAAACATTCCCTCTACTCCCCCTGAGTAGCAGTTACAACTTACTGTCTTACTAAAGCATCCCAGTTACACACACACACGCGCGCGCGCACACACACACACACACACACACACTGAGAGTTTAGACAGTTGTTGGAAGGACATTGAAGAAGGAGGGAGAAAATCTGGGCTCCAGTCTTAACTTTACCTCCAGTCTCTTTCATATTCCTGGGCAGCTTGCTACCTAGAATTTAGGATTCCTCACCTGAGAAAAGAGAGGTCGGCATTATCTTAAGGGTTATTAAATCCAGCTGGGCATCAGCATTCCTTGGTGTTCTTTTTAAAAATACAGGACATAGGGCTCCTGAAAGATTCTAATTCAATAAGTTGGGCTGGAGCTTGGAAATCTCTCTTGAAAGGCTCCCTGCTTATGCCAATGATCTGCCTAAAGATACATGCTTAGAGTAGTTGTTTAGAAAGCGGATTCCTCACCAGGCATGGTTGTTGCGTGCCTGTGATCCTAGCACTATGGGGGCTGAGGCAGAAAGATCACAAGTTTGGTCCCAGCCCGGGAAATTTAGCAACTTCCCAAGGCCCTGTCCCAAAATTAAAAAAAAAAAATGTAAAAAGCTGACAGAAGGTAGCTCAATGCAAAGGCCCTGGGTTCAATCCTCAGTACTGGAAAAAAAAATAAAAGCAGATATCTGGACACCAACCCAGATCTACTAAGTGCAAATTTCCAGTGGAGAGATCTGATGACTTGTGCAATTAACCAGCTCTCTGGGTGACTTGTCACAGAGTTGGTCTGAGAAACAAAGCAGCCCAAAGACCAGCCGTGTTGTGTCTACATGGGAGTGCGTCAGAGGGCTGAATCTCAAGCCCTTCTTTGTGCTACTGAGCCAGAATCTGCATTCTGAGAAGAGCCCTGGGTGGCTGGTTGCATACTAGACTTTGAGAAGCATGGCCCTAGGTCTGTGGTCTGCAAAAGCTAGCACGCTGCAGAGTCTTCTGGAAGGCTTGTCCCAGCAAACCACATACTGAGCCCTTCCCTCCAATGTCTGATTCTCAGGTGTGGAGTAGGCCTGGTGACACAGATGCTGCTGATAGGGGGACCTCCCTTTAAGACCCATACCCTGGGGGATTGCTCAGGATTCTACTTCTAAACATGAAACTGTTCCACTTTGTTTTTTTGTCTACTTGGGCACTTGCAAAATCCTACTCACCTACCCTGAGGGCGTAAATTCCTATGAACTAATCACCTGTATAACTGCTGAGGTGCTATGTTGTTTGCCACAGACTGTATTTGTTGTAAAAGTTTCAAGAAAGTCACAACGTCGTGGCAGGGTGTGGTTGTCCAAAAGGAGACTTCCTTTCCTCCTTCCCTTGCCTCTGCCTGAATAAACTGTGGTGGGAGATGTTGCTCCTGAGACTGCGGCTTTAAAAGCCCCCTTGAGCTCCTGACAGGAGTGTGTTTGTTGCCCTTAGAAACAGGTTTTCTCACCCTTGTCCCTAGAACTAGAGGCTGGGGCACAGGCAGCTGAAGAGTAGGGAGCTAGAGACGTGGTCTACCTTCTTTGACCAGGGTGCAGAAGGTTCTTCAGATCACCCCAGTGCCTGTGAGCTAAAGCTATGTCACGGGAATTTCCTGCTATGGATGTACCCAGGCTGCTCAAGTGACACATCTGTTCACTGGGTCTCCCTGAGGCCTCAAGTCCCAGTGGTGTTTCCCACACTCAGGGCAGGTCGTCTTTCAGTCCTTGGCACTAGTTTTCCACTAGGTGGCAGGCACCACTGCTCCTGCAGATGCCACAGTCCCCAGCAGAGTCTCACTCAAAGTGCTGAAGTTCTTCAGGTGCAAAGCTGACAGGTGGCTCCGGTAAAGTGCATAAAAAGCAGAAGGCTCCCTTCCACATTTTGCCCACCCTTGCCAGAGAAATCCAGGGTGGCGCTAAGCCATACTGGAGTTTAGGCAAAAAGAAAAGCTAGTAATACCAATCCTATCCTAAATTTTAAATTTTGTTCACCATGGAATTTTTTTGCATAAAGTTTGATTTTTAAAAAATATTACAATGCAGTGTGATTAATCTGAGATTTTGAAAACCTTCTGTTGATTTTTAGGCAAAGGAGGGTGTGCCTCTCCCATCTCCCCTTGTCCTGGTAGCGTGGTTTGTGTCCCACTGTCTTGAAGCACTGTGGCAGGGGCTGGGGCAGATTTCAGCGCAGCTCTGGTGCTCAGGGACAGAGGCTTTGGGCAGGGTCAGTTCACTGTCCCTGGCAGGAGCTTGGTCCCCCTCAGGATAAGCCCTGCCCCGGGAGGACCCTCATTCTCTCCGTGAGCCCACTTCTGCCAGCCTATACCCCCACATCCCCAAAGAGTCTCAAATCCCATACTACCAACACCTAGCCACACCCAAACCCCTGCTAGTGGAAGAGAGTTTCCAGTCCCCAGCCAGCATATCACCCAATCTTCCAGCACATTCCTCTCCCCTCTACATAGCTGGATTTAACTCTTTTCCTGAGGGACCCAAATGCTAACTGTTTAGGTTCCCATTTCCTCTCTCCTTGTTTTGAGGAACATTCTTAATGTCTCTTCCTTAAGGAGCTGGTATTCTCTGCAGTTCAGGTGACCCCTCTCTCAATGGTCTTAGTTACTTTCTGTGGGCCCAGGCTCCTTCTGCGGGTAATGAGAGGAAAATGAAACCAGCTGCCCACTGAACCAACAAGAGTGGCAGGGCCCCAGTGCTCAGACCTGCTAGTCTCTCCAACCTTGGCTGAGAACCACCTGGGAGAGCTTTTCAATATCCTGATGCCCACAACGAGGTGTGGTGGTTCATGTATACAGGTGGTAGCTACTCGAGAGGCTAGGCAGGAGGATTGCCCGAGCTCAAGCAACATAATGAGACCCCATCTCACAACAAACAGACAAACTCCCCAGGCCACACACAGGACTAGTTAAATCAGAATCTCCAGGACACAGCCCCAAGCATCAGTAGTATATGACACCCCCTAACCTCCAGATGAGAACCATTCCTAACCAGTGAGGACCTGGGCAGGCTGGGGCTTTATCAAGCCAAGGCTGCCACCGTCAAGCAAGAGGAGAATGGGCAGTGTAGGGCACTTCTATTTTGTTTTACAAATATAGTTTTATAATGAACACATATTACCTCTCTCTATTTTAATTGTTAGCTAAGTCCTGGGTGCATTGCCAGAGAGGAGACAACCTGCAGGGAGGGTGCTGGCTCCCACGGGTAAGGCCACCAGCCAGGGGACAGCAGTCCAAGAGGCTTTGAGGCTTCAGTCCCCAAGCCTCTCCCACTTCTGGTTCTCCTGCATAGACTCCCCATGACCCCCGCCCTTCAAGTTGTCCCACCTCCATAGGCCCTCCATGTCCACCAGTGGCCAAGAAGATGCTTGGACATCCAGCTAGAGTCCACCTTGGTGCCTCTGCTCCCAAAGCGCTGCCACTCTCACTGGGGCCACACTCGGAATAGAATTCTCCTGCCCTTCAGGGGTCATCAGACAGCCACCACGTTCCACGCACCCATGTCCTGTCAAGGGGAAAGGAGAGCTCCCTTTCTGGGGTCCTGTTCCCACCTTCCCAGTTGTCACCTTCTCCATGTGCTAGACTGGCAACACACCCAGGACTTAGCTAACATTTTAAAATATATAAAAGTGGTCTGGGGATTTAGCTCAGTGGTGCCGCTGCCTGCCTCGAAAGCTCAAGGTCCTGAGTTTGATCCCTGGTACCAAAAAAAAAAAAAA